GGAGACTAAATTAACCAACCTTGTCATTAGGAAGAGGAGAAGGGGCTGGCTATCTTCAGTCAAGGCATTTACTCAGTTAACATTAGCTTTCTTTTCTTTAAAAGAAGATGAAGATCTGATGACAGATAATCATAAAGACGAAACAATGTTTTTGAAATCTCTGAGAGACTGGCATCTTAATTTAGAAGCACTAAGATGATTACCAAAATTCACCTTAAAAAGCTTCTTCCAGCAACAGCAAAATATACCTCCAAAAAAGGCCTTCTGGGAGAAGCAAAATAGGGTAAGGGACAAGGTTCAAAACATTTTTGGAAGAAATGCCGGAAAACTTCTGTTTCAACTTTATTAATCCAACTGAAGTGTGAGAAAAATTCTGATTCTGCTTTGTTTTCCTTGTGCTTGATGAGCCCAAATATCGCATTCTTATTGGTTCAATATCAAAATCAAAGAAAGAATCAGCATTAGTTTTCACTTAGGTGAAAGAAGATGACTTCAACTTCAACAGTTAATATTCCCTCCTTAACACAAGACCCACTCACTATTACAATGGGCATTTCAACAGGTTTGGGTTTTAAGGGTATTTATAGACAACAAAACAGGCTAGCGACTTGTGCTAAATTTTGCCAGTCACTTGTCTTGTCTTTTAAGGCAAATTGTCCGTTGATGATAAGTAAATTACTTCATTATACTTATCGTCAACGGACAATTTGCTATTTTTGATAAGTCTACTATTTTGAGAACCATTAGTACTGATTAGATTCTTACTTCTGTTTTGTTGGTGTCAAGTTTTTGTCAGATTGAGAGATGAGGCCCTGCCTTCCTGAGAGGGATTCTTTCTCAAGGCTGGAAGTATGAAAGGATCCCTTTCACAAGTTGGGTGCTGCGCGCCGGTTCATTCATCATCACAGTAACAGATGAAATGCATAGCATTGAGATATGTTGTTTGACCATCAAATACGTTTGTGAAAAAGCGTATAAAAGGGTGATCCCTTTCTGTCAGGGATGGCATATGAAATTTAAGCCTTTAAGCTGTGCTTATTAACCCTTTTCAGGCCTCCCTTGTTTAGTTAATCATCAGAGCAGCAGCTGAATACCTGTAGGGGTTCGTACAATCACGAAAAGTCATTGAATTCTTGGGGAAGTCCTTGAAAAGTCCATCTGTTTCTACCGTAGAGTGGCAAGAGGAATGGAGGTGCTTCGCTGCTTTTCATTCGCTTACTCATCTTCACCAAAACAAAAGCACTCCTGAAATGAGGCACTTGGGCGCACAACACACAAGGTATATTCTGAATAAAAACTCGCTTATTTCACTATAAAGCTTTAGATAACTTGTTTTAGAAAATCAGCGCTTTTCTGTAAATCCTTTAAAGGCAAAATGTTAGATACACTTTCTGTTTTTAATCTTCTGAATGTAGTTAATGCCAGTGCCCAAAAATTTGTTTTCTGATATTTTTCAGGTCTGTAGCTGTAGATTTGCTAGTTTGCTATTGGCACGTATTGGCATCGGTAGCCTGTTTAGGCTGTCAGTTAGATGAGGTTTGTTCACTAAGGTAGCTGGACAGGTGAATGCATAGCAAAGAGATGGCGGTGCTCGTTTCTAGCCGTTAGACTCTAGCATTCACCAACTGGCGTGACTTTCATTCAACAAAAGGATGATCCCGCAATCCCCTCGCGGTTACTAACATGACGGTTATGTTTTGGCTTAGTAACCACATGTAGCAGACACAGACTGTGTTCAACCCTCCCGATCTCGTCGGGATTCTCCCGATTTTGCTTTAAAATCGTGAATCTCGACCAATCTGCGGTCGGGATGGTAAATTTCGATTTTGAAATCTGTTCTGATATTTTCAAATGAATCTTAGGTAACTTAGGCACTCATCTAACTTGTATACTTAACTGAAATTGATATCCAGAAAACCTTAAAGCATAAAAATGACAATCGATTTCGCCAACATTTTAGAGAAATTGTGCTCTCAGAACACTAGAAATAGCGTTTCGTTTCATCAACCTTTCGCGCCATTCGGACAGCCTGCACTGTCCTCTTTTCTGGTTGTCAGAAACGTGTTTATGAAAACTATTATAGGAATAAAATAGCCTGCGAGCTGTGAGCTTTCCGGGGAGTTCTGGAGGTGGGACGAAAAAGAAGGGCCAGAGCGCCCTGGTGGAGCTTGCTCATCATGGCGGATAAATGTTGGGCGGTGAAACGAGCGCTCCGCTCTTCATTTAATGTGTGATGCGGAGTAGGACTGGCACGAGCGCTCTTTCCGCGCTTCCAGTGCGCTTGAAGGCCGGCGAAGTTTTCCTTTTTGCAAACCGGAAATCCCATTTTCTTTCTGTAATTTCAGGCTACAATGTTAAATAGATAAATTCGTTTCATAACAATATCGATAAACAGTTTCATATGTTTGTAAACTTGTTGGTGGTATAATGCCAAAATTTGAGTTTAATTTGAAGGTGTCCTCCTTCCACTAAATATCGGCCTAATCGTCTTTCGCCGTTTCGTTTGCAAAAGCTTAACACTTCTTAACCTCAATTTTTACATATGTTAAAGGGGGATAAATTTTATGTAACATAACAAAAACTTAGATTGATATATTTTGATATAGTGGCGTTCTACTGCTTTAAACTTTACTTTTCGGGTGCAACGCACCATGGTGATTCGCGCAATGGGCTCATCCTCGGTGTAAGAACCTGTTAAACTCACAAGTGACGTAAAACAAAGAAAACAAAGACGTCAACACAATAGAACGTAGAAAAACAAAAGGTGCGAAACAAAGAAAAAGTTCACAGGTTCTTACACCGAGGTAAACCCGCGCAATGCGTCGCAAATCCGGCAAGCGCATGTAAACAAAATTTATTGAGGTTAGTTGTAAGGTTTTTTCTCCGCTTTTCTCTCTAAAACAAAACAAGGTAAACAGTAAAAACTGAGGGGAGACTAATTTTGAAGTTTCGAAGAAACAGAAAGACGTATGAGATGTTCAAAATTAAAAAGAAGGATGATGGTGATTGAAATTAGCAAAATTTCACCTTGCACGAGCTGCACGCATTTATAAAATAAAATACACGTCATCTACAAATATTAAACACGATCTGGTGTCTTTTAGTTTTGCCATGGATGACATGGATGAGATTTTCCATCGTGTTTTAGACAGTACTTAGTTGTTTTTGTTTTGGAATAACATCAACATTGGTGAATAGTAGAACGAAAATATAATTCAGTGGTAGAGACATGGAAGTAATAAGAGAAACTCTTTGAAAGAGATGTTTGTCTACTCCAACTAAACCTCCCGCAA